GTGTCTGTCCTTCTCATCAGGTCTGCTTCTGCATCCTTTTTCTTTCTCTCCATTTCTTTGCCTCTCTGACCCTCTGTCTCTTCTTCTCCAGCACCCACAGCCCTGAAGAATGGGTCATCTCTTGCAGTCCTGGAGGGCCAGTCCCTGCGCCTGGTCTGTGTTGTCGACAGCAACCCCCCAGCCAGGCTCAGCTGGGCCCATGGAAGCCAGACCCTGAGCCCCTCACAACCCTTCAACCCTGGGGTCCTGGATTTGCCCCGAGTGGAGTCGAAGCATGAAGGTGAATTCACCTGCCAAGCTCAGCACCCTGGGGGCTCCCTGCACGTCTCCCTGAGCCTCTCTCTGCAGAGTGAGTGCACCGGTGGATGCGGGAGGGGCTGGAGGAGGAGGACAGCACCCACCCCACCCCACAGTCCAGCCAGCAGCCCCCTGAGCTTCGGAGGGGAGCTCAGCTCTGGTCTGTGCTGGGTTGTGAGGCCTGGAAATTCCCTGGGACACAGAGGGTCACTGTCGTCTTCCTGCCAGGCCAGGGCTGTGGGGTGGGGCAAGGGCTGGAGGGGGAGCCAGGGAAGGAGGTGGGTCTTGGAGGAGAGGGGCTGGGGCCTGGACAGGTGTGTCTGGGGACACAAGACCCTTTCTTTGGGGGCTGGGACGAGCGTCAGGTGAGTGAGTTTCTCCTCTTCACCATAAAATTTAAGGAGAACGGAAAATCCTCAGGAATCAAGAGCAATAATATTGCAATAGAGTAGTTAAAAAAGTATTTTAAAAATACAAAATAAACTCCACAAAGAACAAAATGACAAAATTTTAATTAAAGACAGGCCGCAACTCAGCTCTTGTATGCCTCACTCTCCTCACCCTAACCCCCACCCGCAGCCCATGAGACTGTTCTTGCTCATGGCAAAGTGGCCTGAACACAGATGTGTGGGGCCCTACAGGGAGTGGGAGGAGGAGAGACCGAGTTCTCAGAGGGGAATCGCTAATAATCCAATCCTCTGCAGGAAAAGCGTGGCCTTTATCAGGAGTGGTGCTGGGGGCTGTGGGGGGAGCAGGTGCTACAGCCCTGCTCTTCCTGTCCTTCTGCGTCATCGTCATCATGTGAGCAGGGACCTGGGGAGGGAGGGAGAGCCCTGGGGTGGGAAGGGCAGGCAGCCACGGATCCCTGAAGCCAGAGCTGGGGGACTGGGTGGGTCCAGAGCCTGAATCAAGGGCAGGAAGGAGGTCCCGGCACCAGGGTGAGTCTGTCACAAACCCCAGGCCCCACTGTCCAGGAGGGGGAGACTGTTCTCAACCATGGGTTCTCTGGGACAGTACCACCCCTCTCCCACCTCAGTCACCCCTCCAGCCCCTAAGAGAGAACAGAGGAGGGGTCAGTCTGCCCACTGCACCCTGAGCTGGCGAGACTGAAAGGCTCTTGGTCTCTTCACTCAGAGTGAGGTCCGGCAGGAAGAAAGCAGCAAGGCCAGCAGAGGATGTGGGTGACGCGGGCATGGAGGGAGAGAATACAGTAGCAAAGTCAGTCTCTCAGGTGAGTGACTGGGTGTCTCTCCTTCCAGCATCCTGCCTGGATGCCTCTCCCAGGGTGACTCCCTGGATTATCCCTCTCAGTATGGACAAAGTTGTTGTCTTCATCTCCCCCTCCTCATCCCTTCAAGTTGGATCTCCATCTTACCCGCAGCACCACAACCCCTCATCTTTCCTTCAGGCCAGGCTTGGAGGAGTGACCTTCTCTCTTTCCTCCCTTTCTTCTCCTACAGGCAAAAATTCACTACATCTTGTCCATTTTTCCTCCTAAGAACAGCTAGCATCAGTCTTCCTCTCTCCATCTTGACCCCCGTCATTGCCGAGGCTTCAGGATCTCTTTCCTGGAGCCCTCATCTCCCTGCCCCTCATCTCCCTTGCCCTACACAGAGTGATCATCTAAAAGCCATCATTGTCCAGCTCCTCTGCATTTGATCATATGTCTGCCCTCATCATCTACAGCATAGGCCAGCCAAGTTTTTCTACCAAGGGCCATTGAGTCTCTGTGGCAGTCACTCAACTCTGCTGTTGCAGCATGAAATAGCCATAGACCATATGTAAATGAATGAGTGTGGCTGTGTTCCAATAAAACTTTATTTACAAATACAGGTAGCTGGCCGGATTTGACCCAGGGCTGCATGTAGTTTGCTGACCCCTGACCTAGAGAATGAAGCTCACACTCCTCAGCCCGCAGCCCTTCATATTCTGGCCTCTCAGCGTCTACCTCTCCAGAAGGGCTAGGGTTAGGGTGAAGAGGGTGAGGCACTCTCCTTAGGTGCAAAACTTAGAAAGCTGCGAAAAATCTCAGCAATAGAGATAATACCTGAATGCAATATTTTTTAAACATCAAAATTAATGAAAAAAATCCACAATGAGTGAAATATCAAAAATCTAAATAATGGTAGGATGAGTACAATGAAGTTACTTAATAATTATTTAAGATCATAACTTGGTCAAGAGGCATTGTCACACGTGACAGTATTCTCAGTTGCAAACGAGAGAGGCAGAGAAGGAGATTTTGAAAATATTCTGTCTGTGTTTGCTTCCAGTAATGGCATGAAATCAAAATTGTAATAAATTCTGATTTGGGTGCACATAAAACCTTTAAAACTTACAATAATGTTTTTTTTTTTTTTTTTGTGAGGAAGATCAGCCCTGAGCTAACATCCATGCTAATCCTCCTTTTTGCTGAGGAAGACCGGCTCTGAGCTAACATCTATTGCCAATCCTCCTCCTTTTTTTTTCCCCCAAAGCCCCAGTAGATAGTTGTATGTCATAGTTGCACATCCTTCTAGTTGCTGTATGTGGGACGCGGCCTCAGCATGGCTGGAGAAGCGGTGCGTCGGTGCGCGCCCGGGATCCGAACCCGGGCCACCAGCAGCGGAGCACGCGCACTTAACTGCTAAGCCACGGGGCCGGCCCTGGAAGATTTTGACAGAAGGGTAAAATGCACCTTTTCATTCATTAATTCCTCCAGGAAATGTTATTGAGCACCTACTGAGTGACGAGCACTGTAGGTGGCAGAGACGCATCATGAAAAATATCTAAAATATTGGCTCAATGAACTTGTTTTCTAGACAGAAGGTGATAATCAAACCAGTAAAAAAACAAACAAACAAAATAACCAAACAACAAAAAAGTGAATAGAATGTGCAAGGTAGACGTGTGCTTTGGGGATAATGCAGGGTACAGAGAAGAGAGAGGGTTGGGGAGATGACTTGTGGAGTGCTCTTGGTGTTTATTTATTTCTTGTAGTGAAAATTTCATAGTAAACTTACCATCATAAAGATTCTTAAGTGTACAGTTGTGCAACAGATCTCTAGAACATTTCCATCTTACAAAACTGAAACTCTACACCCGTTGACTACCCACTTCCCCCGCCACACCAGCCCCTGAACCACCCTTTTACTTTCTGTCTCCATGGGTTTGACTAGTCTAGACACCGCATTTTAGTGGAATCATGCAGTATTTGTCTTTTTGTGACTGGTTTATTTCACTTAGCATACTGTCTTCAAGGTTCATCTATGCTGTAGTATGTGACATGATTTCCTTCGTTTTAAAGGCTGAATAATATCCCAATCTATGTATACACCACATTTTCTTTATCCATCCATCTGTCACTGGATATTTGAGTTGCTTCCACTTCTTGACTACTGTGAATAATGCGGCAGGGAACATGAGTGTGCAAATATCTCTTGGAGATTCTGCTTTGAGTTCATTTGGATAAATACTCCTAAGTGGAATTGCTGGATCATATGGAAATTCCATTTTTAATATTTTGAGAAACCTCGGGAGTGTTTTCCATAGTGGCTGCACCGTTTCACATTCGCAGCAACAGTGCACAAGGATACAAATTTCTCTGCATCCTCACCAACAAGTGTTTTTTTTTTTTTTTAATAGTGGTCATTCTAATGGGTATGAGGTGATATCGCATTGTAGTTTTGATTTGCACTTCGATGATTAGTGATGTTGAGCATCTTTCCATATGCTTATTGGCCATTTGTATATAGTCTTTGGGGAAATGTCTAATTCAAGTACTGTACTCATTTGTTAAGAGGTTTATTTTTGTGGTTGTTGTTGATTTGTGGGAGTTCTTTATATATTCTGAATGTTAACCCCTTATCTGTTACATGATTTGCAAATATTCTTTCCCATTCCATAGGTTGGCTTGTGGTTTTGTTAGTGATGTTTGAGCAAAGGCATGAAGGAGGATCAAGAGTTTGCAATTTGACTGTGTGATCCAAGAGCCCTCCAGGCAGAGTGAACAGCAGGTGAAATCAATCAGACACAGGAGGCTGACCAGTGAGTGAGGAGCAGCAAGGACATCCAAGTGTTAATACAGAGGGAGGAAAGAGCCAACAGGCAGGAAATGAGTTTGGAGAAGTCAGCGTGTGTGTACATTATGTCTGCACACACAGGACACTGTGGGCATCTGGAGACTTATGGGCAGAAGAGGAACCTGATCCCACTTTCATTTTCACAGGATCCCTCTGGCTGCTGTGCACAGAGAGACTGTGTATATCAGGGAAGTTAGGAAGGGGGCTGGTGAAACATTCCAGGCAGGAGATGATGGTGGCTGGAGCCAGGATGACGTGAGGGTGGGACCTGATCGGATTCTGGGTAAATTCTGAAGCTAAGGCTACTGAGAGTCGCTAACGGATTGGGAGTGTGGTGTGAGTGACAGAAAGGGGTCAAGGATGACTCCCAGACTTCTGCAATGAGCAGCCAGAAAAATGGAGGCACCAATCTCTGAGGTGCAGATGATTGGAGGGAGAGATTTGGGGGAGAAAAGGAGAAGTTCAGTCTGAATATGTTGAGTTTTCTGTTTGTTTTGACAGGGAATGGGCATTTCAAGTATACCTTTGGATCAAAGTCTTTCCAGAGAGGAGAAGGAGCTGGAGGTACGGATGTGGGAGTCATCAGCCTATTAGATGAGATGAAGCCAATGTAGTGGGTGAGGTCACGAAACAAAGTTGAAGAAGGAGAGTCCGGGGCTGCTCAGACATTTAGGGGCAGGGAGATGGGGAGCATCCAGCAAGGGGGCTTCCAGCTATGTCAATGGACCCAGAAAGTGTGATGTCTTGTAATTAAGTCTAAAGGGGCTTTCCTTTAGGGCAGGTGTGCAGTCGAGTCACCAGCTGCTGCAAAGTCCAGAGAGGTGAGGACTGAAAGATGGCTATTTGGATTCACCAGCAGAGGCCACTGGTGTGCTTGATAACAGCAGTGTCGTGAGGTGGTTGTGTGTGTGTGTGTGTGTGTGTGTGTGTGTGTTTGTGTGTGAATCTTAATTCGAATAATGAAGAGAATGAGAGGGGTAAAAATATTAACAATTCTGGTGAAGTGTCCTCTTGTCAAGAGGAGCAGCAGAGAAGGATGCTCCTTGGCAGCACCAGTCACTCTCCTCCATGTGAGTCTATGTTACTTTCTTGTTGCTGCTGTGATGAATCACCACAAATTCAGTGGCTTCCAACAACATGAATTTATTATCTTACAGTTCTGGAGGTCACAAGTCCAAAACGGGTTTCACTGGGCTAAGATGAAGGCATTGGTAAGCAACGCCTCCTTCTGGAGGCTCCCGGGGAAAATGCATTTTCTTGTCTTTTTCAGCCTCTAGAGGGCGCCTGCCCTCCCTGGTTCATTGCCCCTTCCTCCATCTTCAAGGCCAGAAGCACAGTGTCTTCAAATCTCTCTCTGCCTCCTTTCACATGTAAAGACCCTTTTGATTACATTGGGCCCTCCCAAATAATCCAGGACAACGTCCCCATCTCAATATCCTTCACTTAATTCCATCTGCAAAGTCCCTTTTCCTTATGTAGGCTAACACATTCACAGGTTCCTAGGGATTAGGGCTTGGACATCGCCTTGGGTGGCCACCATTGGGGGGCTGTTACTCTACCTACCACAGGGACATAATTTCCTTGACTGACTTGTCCTCCCACCAAACTGCGAGCTCTCCAAGGACAGGTGCTATGCCTGAATCAAGGCCCTATAATCTTCTCTCGCTTACCCAGTTCCTGTCCAACATATCATAATTCACAATTAGATATTTATTTGCTTAACTCATATTTTGCTGCCTCCCTCAATTAAAGAGTCAGCTGCAAGAAGTCAGGGTCTGTGTCTGCTGTGTCCACCACAGAACATCCAGCACCCAGCTCAGGGCCTAAAACACAGGAGGCCTCGGGCTTTGTGGTCAGAAAGAACTGTATTGGATCCTGGTTTCATCAGGGACTTTTATTTGGTGAGGAAGATCATCCCTGAGCTAACATCTGATGCCAGTCCTCCTCTTTTGCTGAGGAAGATTGGCCCTGGGCTAACATCCGTGCCCATCTTCCTCTACTTTATATGTGGGATGCCGTGCCCTGGGTCTGAACCTGCATACCCAGGGCTGTCAAGCGGAGTGCATGAATTTAACCGCTATGCTACCAGGTTGGAACCTTCAGCAGGGACTTTGAGCATGCTGCTTACTTTGATAACCTCAGTTTTCATACGTATAAAATGGAGTGAATGATAATATCTTCCTTCTGAGGTTGTTGTGGGAAGTTCATGAGATTAGCCAGCACCAAATAACGTGTTCTATAATATTAAATATTCAAGGAAAGCATGAATGAAGGAGACGTCAAAAAAAATGTATGTGGGATGAATGGAAGAGGGAATACATGGGCTTCCCTCCTGGACACTCGCTGCCTCATCCTGTCCTTACTGTTCTGCTCTGACTCCCTTCTCTCTCCCTCCACTCAGGGTCCCCTG